TCAAGGAACATAATACACTATTGTTGGTAAAGTATAAAGGAAAGATTATTTAGAGGAGTGCCTCAGCTTTCAAAAAACCCCCAAAACTTGCCTTTGAAATGCCAGCTTGTGGCAGATGAAGGTTTGAGTTAAGTCCTCCCTGGGTGACTTTCTGAAGTCTAGTTGCATTTTGTGTTTCATTGTGTTGTGTGGAACTCCTATTGAAATCTGAGGGGCTGCAGGTGTACCTTGTTTTATGAAGGAGAAGCATTCTTGGGAATTTTGTCAACAATCAGTGCACTAGGGAAGACTATTAAAGGAATCCTTTGGCAAAATATCCTGCTGTTTGATAAATAGGAACTCAAGTTCTTTGAGAGGAAGGAATCATTTTCGTTTTCCCACGTGGCCTTTCATCTAGATGTTTTAGATAGAGAGGTCTATGTAGCTTTGATTAGTACTTTATATATGTGTTTATATATAAAACATGTCATATATATTTGTATATTGTATATATTTGTGCATATACACATATATATTTGTTGAACTGATTTGGAACTGAATGTTTGTAAATCCAAGGATTTTACATACTGGTTTTATTTAAAGTGGTGTACATGTATGAATAGGTTTATGATATTTAACATCATAAAGCAAAAAACAAGAATATTTGGAAGTGAACATGGCAGAAGAAAAATTATTTCTTCTGTTCAATTGGTTTCTTGCAATACAATGCAGGGGTATATCCACCACTCTAGAAAAACAACACATGAAAATTCAAACCTGGAAAACATAATTTAGAGCAATTTTGTAACATGACAAAGAAAGGATACCCCTTACTTTTTGTTGTTTAGTCATTTCAGTTGTGTCTGAACTCTTCATGACCCTATTTGGGGTTTTCCTGGAAAAGGTACTGGAGTGGTTTGCCATTCCTTTCTCCAGCTCATTTTACAGATGAGGAAACTGAGTCAAATAGTGTTAAGTGACTTGCCCAGGGAAAGTTTCCCTTGCCAGGGAAACGATCACTCTATTAAAGTCTTATTTTCATGTCTATCGTGTGGGGTTGTCCTGTATTTGTTGAAGCCTATGTCAGTGGAGCTCTTGAGTATGAACCAGGCAAAAGAACAATTATTAAAGGACCAGCTGAGTTAAGTTCAGAGAGGCTCATCACTAAAGAGCTGGCCACCAAATGATAGTTAACAATAACTCATGAAGAATACTGGAGAGGTAGAATCCACATTGGTGCAAAAAGTATCTACATCAATGACTCCTCGGGAGTGTTGAAAGAGATGCTTTATTTTTATCCCCCCCCAAAAAAAATTTATTAAAATCTCATTAAAGTTTAAAATTGCACTAAGACTTTTAGGAAGAAAACCTTTATTACAGAAACATTAATGTCTTTCAGTATGGAAAATCTTAGATAATTTACGTACTTGTAAATTGCAAGGTTGTCAAAAATTCTGTTGTGGTAGCTCAGGGGGGATAATTTGACCACTATTCATTATTTCTCCCTATGTAAAGCATCTATGATTTATGCCGCTTTAATGGTGTCTGAGTTAGGCCTTGTTAGGGGTTACAAAACAATTTTCTCATATCATCTGACCTCCTGTTAAAGAATGAATGCAAATGCAAATATTAAAATCCCCATTTTTTCAGAAGATGAAATTAGGGCTCTGAGAGAATTTAGTGACTTTGCCTGTGGACATATAGCTAATAAGAATCAGAACCCTAGTTCAACTCAGTTCTCTTGACTCAAAGTCCAGTGTTCTTTCCACACTATCAAACATTAATTTAAAATAATATTTTTAGTCAATTGTCGTATCTAGAGTCGTTTTGGAGGTTTTGTTTTTCTAAAGGTTCTATTTATTTCCAAATGACTTTATATGTAATCAGACTGAAGATCTCCGGGCAGCTAGGTGGTGAAGTGGAAAGAACATTGGCCCTAAAGTAAGGAGGACCTGAGTTCAAATACGGCCTCAGACCAAACATTTGACACTTACTAGCTGTGTTGTGACCCTGGGCAAGTTACTTAATCCCAATTGCCTAAAAATAAAAAAAAATTAAAAAAAACAACTGAAGATCTCAGTTCTGTCACAAGCTAGCCATATATCCTTGGGTTGGCTCATAACTTCACCTATAAAATGAGGACATTGGACTAGAAGACCAATAAGATCTCTATCAACTCTGAAATTCTATGAGCCCATAAGCAATTCAATAAATTTTGAGATCTTACTACATAAGATAAATACTTTGTGTGTATTTAATTAAAATAATGAAAAACTCTGTTAATACCACTTAATACTTACTATATATAACCTGTTAGACTACTCTGTAAGGCTTATAAAACAAGTAGTATTTCATGGAATAGTGAAATGGTAGCATTTAGTTGGAGAATTTCACTCATTTCTTGATTAAAATACTGTTACTTGAGCACTATTTCATTATAACAACAGCTTATGTTTTCAAAGTATATCTTTTTATATTACATTATGTCTCCATGTGGCATTGGCTATTTTATATTTTCTATACTATACTATAGAGCCTTTATTTCAAAATATTTATATGAACTTAATGATTTTAGGTCCCATTGAGGTAGGCATAGATACGTGTTATTGTTCACATTTTTCAAAGTGGAAGCCAAGTTCAGATCTGCAGGGTAGTTAAAGGAAAAAAAAATCATTATCAACAACAACAACAACAACAAAAAAAAACAGAGATAGAAACCAAATTTCATTTCCAGACCATTAGGTGATGCATTGAGGCTACCTCATCCTTTTTGATAATTGAAATCTCGCTTTCTAGAAAATTTACAAATGGAGCATCATCCCCAAAGTTCATATATGGACTTATTCTGGTTGGAGTTAGAATAAATAAAATAGTATAGTCAACAAATATTTTCTGAATATCTATGCCCTCTGCTTATTGAAAACTAAATTTTAGAAATGCTGATGGTGATATGAGTGTTTGTCTGAGAAGCAACAGTGACTTGAACTCGGGTCTTCGGCTCCAGGGCAGCTAGGTGGTGTTAAAGTGCCAGCCTGCCTGGAAGCCTCATTTTCCTGAGTTCAAATCTGGCCTCAGATACTTACTAGCTCTGTGATCCTGGACAAGTCACTTAACCCTGTTTGCCACAGCTTCCTCATCTATAAAATGGTCTGGAGAAGGAAATTGATAATCACTCTAGTATCTTTGCCAAGAAAGCCCCAAATGGGGCCATGAAGTGTAGGACACAACTGAAACAGCTGAACAACAAAAGTAAGGACAAGTGACAGTGTCTAATGGCAAAAAGTATTGAATTTGAAGTCAGGAAATCTAGGTTTGAATACTGGCCTTGCTATTTTATAGTGACCTTGCCTTCGAGTAAATCACTTCATCACTTCTCCAGACTTCAGTTTTATCATCTGTAGAATGATTTTGGACTAATCAAGAATTCGTGACATAGATTCTGTGAACTTGATTTTTTTTAATGTTTTGATTGTTATATTTCAGTGGAATTGGCTTCCCCTGTAATCCTGTATATTTTATGTTATGCATTTTAAAACATTTTTTTTTCTGCAAAGGAATCTTTACTAAAGGATCCTTTATTAAACTGCTAAAGGAGTCCCCGGCACAAAAAAAGCTAAGAATCCTTGGAATAGATGATATATCTAAGCTCCCTTCCACACCTAAAATCTACATCTCAACAGCCAGGACTCAAAGGAAGTGAAACGGGTTGTCTGCAAGGAAATGAGCAGGGCTGAAAGCTGAATTGAGTAATTTGACAAATACCCTAAGGTAGAAAGTAAAATAGCAATAATAGTAACAGTAATATGTTCTCCTTTTACATTGCCAGAATTTCTCCCTGTCTCCCTCCTTTGGCCCTCACAGAGAGCCATCTCATATAATATTTTTAAAAAAACAAAGAACTCATGCCTTGGGGTCCATGTTGGTCCCAAGTTGTGGGACATTACATGAGCATAAAGTCACGTGACACTCCATATCTAACCAGCTGCACCTGGTATCTTACCAGTAGTTTTGTTGCTTCAGGTGAAGCCTCCCCTCCCCCCCACCTCAACCTTCCACACCTCCCTCTGTGAATCATAATCAAATCAATACTGCCATTGCCCTGGAAGGGGCATGGCAACTGACTGCCCTTTGCCTTTACTAACCATCCCTGGACCTTCCCATGTCAAAACATTTCTCCCTTGCCACCACTCCCTACATGTGTTGTTTACGACTCTTAGAATATAAACCTCTTGAGGGCAAGGATACTTTATTTTTTTATTTGTATTCTTAGTGTTTAGCACACACCTTTTAGTGTATAAATAGTGTATAGATAAATAGAGAGAGATGGTATACAGTTATCCCTTCCACATTGTGACTTTCCCCATTGTGGTTTCAATATATCGTGGGTTGGCATAAAAAATTAAATGGGATTTTGGGGGGGAAATTTGCAGAAGCCACAGATGACTCATGAAGTTCAGCAGACAACACAGAGTCTATGACCAAATACTTAACCTAAATTTTACAATAAGGTGCTGTAAATAATCCATAAAAGAAAAAGAAAAAAATTCAGACTTCTTCACTGGTATGAAGGTAGGGTCAAAAAATTTTAGGTGGATTTTCCAGATAGTGGGGGCACTGTGCCCCTAACCACCACAGTGGGGAAGGGATAACTATATACACAAAGAGGTTAATAAATGCTTTTCATTTATTCATTCATTCATACTTGCATATATAGTTTCTCAAAATTCCATGAGTCTCTGTTGATTTTCTTTTTTTTCCCCTAAGGATAAGGGATTAAAGACATTAAATTACATGATATTCAACGAACAATGCATTTTTAATCCAAATGATCAAATAATCACATTTTAAGTATTTTTAAAGTGATCATGGCATTGGGAAATTCCCACCTAGTGCTCATTCCACAGGAGAAGATGTAGCCCAGCTCATGTTTAAAATGCCAAATAAAAATGCCTTCAGAGACCTTGGCTGCACAGCCAGTGGTCAAATGTTTCAATGCTTCATTGCTCCTGTCCCTGTTACAGGTACATGTGACAGTGCTGCAGCGATGAGTGGAATTTTAAAGAGGAAGTTTGAAGAAGTCGATGGCTCCTCACCCTGTTCCTCCGTTCGGGAATCAGATGATGAAGTTTCTAGTAGTGAAAGTGCAGACAGTGGGGACAGTGTCAATCCATCCACTTCTAATCATTTTACCCGTGAGTACTGAAATGACATCTGGTGCCAGTTGTTTTGTTCTGCAGTGTTAAAAATTGTGTTGGATAAGATATATTTTTAACCTACATGCTTATTGGGGAAAAAAATTAATGGGTCTAAAAAGATCCACAGAGCTATTGGCTAAAGCTGAGGTATTTTTAGGCAGCAATATCGCTAATTCCTGTAATATATATGACTGTATTAACCTACTGGTTCAATTTTTTTAAAAGGATACAGGGAATGGAAAGGGCTCATTGCTGAGTCCCAGTGGCCTTAGTTGGGAGAAGGTAGATTTGTAAGAAATACTGGGTTCAAAAAGTCATAGAATTATAAAATTTTCAAAGTAAAAGGGAATATTTTTAGTTAATCTAATTCCCTCATTTAAAGTAATTGCACATTTTTCGCATCCTTCAAAAAAGGGCCAAGAAGTTAAATTCATTTATATGTGCATCACCCAAACAAGCTACCTCAGGTTTAGGGTACTTAAGGGGCTGTATTCACTCAAAAGCATAGTGCATGAGCCCCCATTAATGGGTTTATTTTTAATAGTCAGTCAGAGGACATAATTAATTCAAAGCAAAAATAGTTAATGAAATACCCCATAAGAAAAGTTAACAACAGAACATTCCCCCATAAACTAAAAGCACACTCTTTATACCATAAGTGGGAAGAGAAGATACAGCTAGGAAAAATGTGGATAGGCATATGTGTATGGACAGGGTACTTGCATATAGGGGTAACTCATGTCTCCTGGTGATGTTACTGTTCTTCCTCCCTGACCTTGTTTCCTACCTGAAACACATGGTGCGTAGTCTCAGTCTGGCAACGATTCTCTGTCATGTACGCAAGTCATGCGTGTGGTATCTGCTGGTCTCAGCTGGTTACTGCTTAACGGTGCTGCGATGCTCTTGTGTTCATGTTGGTCTTATAATTGCTGAGTGCCTCTGGACTATCAGCTTCTAGGCTTCATCTCTTCAGGGAATTTGCTGTCGATATGGACTGCTTATGGTATACTAGAGTCTGGTGGCTAGAAATTCTTTCTCTGGTTAGGGCGGACCAAGGGCTCTTTTCTCATGAAGTCAAGGCTATGAGTCATCATAGGTAGCAAAGTGCCCAGGCCAGGCAGAATGCCCCTAGGCTAAGATTAAGTCTAGCTTCTGAACCCAGTTTCTTTTTGTTAATAGGAGTTTAGGGTATCCTTGTCTTAATCTTCTATCTGAATCAGTCAGTAGGCCCCTGTAATTCCTGTTTAACTTTTTATTGTCAATTTGTAGTGCTTCAGAACCCAAAGGGGCTTCCCTTCCAACAAAATGCCAAGGGCTGGCTCATTCTGAGGCCATCCTAGTTTATCAATTCCTCCATGTAATTGAATGGGGATGGGGAGGAGTACCCAACAAAAAAAATTAGGTGGAGTCTTTTTCAGCCTTAGGGTCCCCCCTTAATCCTCTGTTCCATATTCTGGCATATATTATGCATGGATGGCAGGAAAAAAAGACTTAGATTCAGAACCAGCCAAGCAACTTAAAGATATGGTGAAAAATAAATAACCTAAGGATAAAATGAAAGAGACAATATCTAAAATAAAATAGAAGTAATGTAGTTTAATGCATAAAGTACTAGAATTGGAATCAAAATCTGATTCTGGCACATATTGGCTGTGTGACAATGGACAAATCACTGAACTTTCTGTGCCTTAGTTTCCTCAACCATAGAATGGTTGTAATAATACCAGAAGTACCCACCAGGGAGGGTTATGAGACTCAAATGAATATAAAAACACTTTCCAAACTTTGAAGTCTTATCCAATCAGTTAATAACTAAATATTAAGCACCTACTAAGTGCTAAGCACTCTGGTATCCCAAACGTCTTAGTGCAGTTTTAAGCTAAGACCTTTGGGACACCCAGTATTTATTTATTGGGCTAGACTTGTGATTTCATTTGTGTATGGAAGTTTCAGTGAGGAAATTCCCTTTTTAGAAATGCCTGTCATCACCAGCTTTACAATTAAGAATCTTGGAGAGTGTCATGGCTTACTCAGAGCTTAAGTGACTTGCTCAGGGTCACACATCCAGTGTGCATCAGATGTGAACACTTGAGCCAGATCATCATGACTTCAAGGTCATTCTGCCTCTCAAAGCACTCTATGAAGGCCAGTTATTGTTCTTATTCTTATTAATTGCAAACTACTTTTTATTCTTACCCCTGTCTTCCAAATTTAGGCAGAGAAATTTTATTCTATCCATAAAACAATATAGAAAGCATCTATTACTTGGAATGTGTACAGTTAAAATCTGTTATTAAATGTCATGACAAAAGCTTGGCCACATATTTTCATGAAGTCCTTTCTGGGTTGCCCACAAATTGCTATTACAAAATTAGCATCTGAGAAAATACCTGATTGTAAATATACAAAAACAAATGGCTAAATAAAATTTGAAAGACTTCTTAAAAAAAAGAATAAGCTTATCTGTCTAGCTATGTTCTGAATAAGGGTATGTCAAATTCTGCAATGTTGTTTTATAATATGTACATATTTGTGAGTATAAATTGGACATTAGAAGTCACTTAAGAAAGGGCTCTATAGGGATGGGGGCTGGATCTGTGATTTCAGGCCCCAAAACAATCATACACAAACTCCCAAATGAGGAAACTCTCTATGAGGGTTCTCATTACCTCTGGCCTAGACTGTTGAAATAGCCTTCTCATTGGTCTCTCTCCTTCATCTCTTCCCCTGCTCCAATCTATCCTCCACTCAGATGCTAAAGTAATTTTTTAAAGTATAAGTTCAGCCATCTACTCAGTAAATTCAGGTGGTTCCTTATTACCTCTAGGATGAAAATCCTGTGTTTGGAATTAAAAGTTCTGGCTTCTTTCTTCCTTTCAAGTCTTTTTATACTTTATTTCCCTCCATGAACTCTAAGATTTAACCATATTGGCCTATTTGTTATAGCTCACACATCTTTGTTACATCTTACACCATCACGTTGCTATATCTCACTCCATCTTTAGCCTCTGCCTTTGCATTGGCTGTCTCCTGTGCCTGAAATTCTCTCCCTCCTGCACTCCACCTCTTAGCCTCCCTGGCTTCCTTCAAGTCTTGGCTGACATGTCACCTTCTGCAGGAGGCATTTTTGGGTCCCCCCACCTGCTAGTGCCTTCCCCTCCAAGGTGACCTTTCATCTACTCTTTTTTTGTTAATTCTGAATTCTCTCTCTCCTGCCTCCTCCTTTCCACCATTGAGAAAGCAAAAACAAAACAAAACAAAATAAACAGCCTCCCCTACCCAAACCAAAAACCTATATTACAGATATGTATAGTGAAGCAAAACAAATCCCTGCATCAGCCATGTCCAAACATATATATTGCTCACTCTCAATTGGAAATGTATCTTGTATAGGTACTTATTATATACCCTCTTCCCTTCATAGAAAGTGAGCTCCTTGAGGGCAGGGACTGCTGTTAACTTACTTTCTAGCTTCAGTGCTTAGTATAATGCTGGGCAAATAGGAAGCACTTAATAAATGTCTCTTGAATGACTACCTTATACAGTTTTGTTAGGATTAAATAAAATAATGTATGTAAGCCTTATATGAATGGCACCTGTTGTTATTTCTAGACACTCATATTTGTTGATGTCCTTAAAGTGTGGTACTCAGAGCCAAACATCACTCTCTAGATGTGGTCTGACCAGTGCAGAATGTGGTGGGAGTATTACCTCCCTTGATTTTGAGAGTCTTCTTTCTCTTAACATAGCTGAAGTTTACATTACTATTTTTATCAGCAACTGGTTCTTGTCCATATTGAGCTTGTGGTCAATTCAAAAATTTAAGCCTTTTTCTTATGAGTTGTTTTCAAGCCAACTCTCTCATGCCCTGTACTTGTGCAGCTGATTGCTTGAAAAACACTGAAATTTAAATTTCTGCTTTTTAAATTTCATCTTGTTGGTTTGGGCTTAGTTTTTTAGCCTATGGGGAAAAGCAAGGGAGAACAGGAGAATGAAAGAGTAAGAAAGGAAGAAATACTTGGAAGGAGGTCTTAACTGATTAGTCAAAGAAAAATGAAAAACAAAAGTTGATGATTTAAAACTTTGTCTTGAAAACATTGTCAGCTAACTCCAAAATTATACCTATAAACTGAATCCAACTATTAAAGTGGGATAGAAAATGCAAATGTATTCAGTTCCAAATTTAGTTGGAATTATACAGCTGGCAGTATAGAAGAGACTTTTCCAAAGTCATCACAGATGGCTGGATGTCCCCACACATCATGAAGATTTTCAGATAAGGAGCTTCCACAGTAAGCTTCTTACTTGTCTCATAACCATTATGGTGAATTAGAGCTTTCTTTGGTTTAAGAAAGCCATTAATTTAAGTCCATTTTCTTTTGTTTGGTCGTCGGTCACCATCCTCACTATTGAGGAAAATAAAGATTGACATCATAATCTTGATAAGTGTGCTAATCATTCTTGCCTTTGTGGAACAGACATTATTTTGCTTCACAGACTTCCAAATCTTTCCTCGACCTTACCCTTGATCTCTGAACCGTGGGGATATACTCATGCGAACACATTGACCATCTACCCTGCTACAAGTGTTTTATATGATCTTTTTTGTATGTGGCCACTTCTTCGGTTATGTCAGCTCTCAAAATCTTTTCATCAAGCTATTTTTCTCTTATTTCTAGCCTTTTTTTGTTGATAAGTCTCTCAATAATATAATTTTATAGCATTGTTTCTTTAGGCTCTGTCATCTTTGTAGTTCTTTGTTTCACTATCATTTAATTATCATGGAGACCTGTGTTTTGGCCATTCTGTTATGAAAGTCTTTGCAACTAATGATTCATCTGTCTTAGATCCCTGGTATTAAACACAAAGGTACTTCAGCTGACTCTTTGGAGGGTTTATTAGCCACTTGCTACACTTTGTTAAGGCCAGGATGCATAAGATAATTTTGTTGCTCTAGTAAAGTCGCTGTCCTCCATCTAAAGTTGTTTATGGATGTG